ATTTTCTTTGCAGGACAGCTTGGCCGACCGTGTCGTGCAGACTTAGGGACTGAAATTTCATCAAAACAACAATTAAGTTTACTTCAGGTCCAACCTAAAACACCCTTTATATTAATTTATAAGAAAGCTCAAAAATAGGAATTCAGGGTACTATACTGATAGATCGTTTCTATCTAGTGTTTAAAATCTAGTTTTAACTAGCGCGTAAGTATTAACAACACAGGCAGAATCAGGAAGATGATGAATCATCGCGTTTTGTTTGGAATATTTTACAGCAAAAGGCGCTACCTAGCAATATCTTACTCCGTCTCCGTATGTTACTTACGCTTATGGGCAAGAAAAACCAGCCTCAACAGCGCAGCTGGTCACACAGTTCTACGAAAAAATAACTACCTGTTATGGTCTCTTGCACGGACTGAGTAGATTTATTGTAACAAACAATGACGCAAGTACACTGCTCACAGTTAGAAGACTTGCACTCACAAATTTCCGTGGCAAATGAAAGTACGCAAGATTCAGGAAATGACGATCTACGCCGCAGAAAGGTTTCGTCCTATTTTACGGTTAATGAAACTAACTGGAGAGTTCTATGGGGATGTTACAATGGACGAGATTTTACAAGAAGATTAGAGCGTCTTTTCTCGTTTTTACTGTGGGTTGGTACTTCTAGGTCAATGGTTTATCGTCGTGCAGGCTGTGACGAGTCTATTCTTTGAAGGCGTAGCTCAGATGAACACGTTTTTCTTCTTATTGACCTTTAGCATTTGGTATCTGCAGTCTGCAATAGTTAACACAATCTGTCTTTTCATTTTACCCAAAGGTCAGAAAAAGCCATCTCGTCTTGGGCAGTTTCTTGGTAACTTACTCGCAACAACATCTGATGGAGGGATAAATACATGTAATATGTATAAAGTGTATTCATTACTAGCCTTGGCGTGTAACTTTGCACTCTTCAACACTGTTTGCCTTACGCTACTAGATCTTTACCGAAATAGCTCGATAGGCCGTTTTCGACCATGGAATGGTTTATTGGTATATCGCTTGAGTCACTTGATATTTTGTGCTTTTGATGCTTTTGCATGGGCTCTACCATATACACTGTTTTATGTCTCATGCAAATTGCTGGTCGGTCTATTTGAGAATTTGGAGAATAAAATAACAGCAGGTAGCCCTGATGTTCGCAGGATTGAATCATTACGCAAAGAACATAGTAAACTTTGCGAAACGGTTGCTCTCGCCGACAAAGTATTTTCACCTCTCATGTTGGCAGCCGTTGGTTCGGACGTTCCCTTGATATGCATCAACTTTTACCAGCTGGTAAAACCCCCAGCTTCAAGCAATGAGGACATCACATTTGTTGCCACTGTCTTTTATTGGTGTATTACAGTGACTGTAAAAATAGTCTTTATTACGATATCTGTAGTGCGAGTCAACGAAAAGGTAAGATATCACTCAATGTTTAGATAAATAGCACGTTACTTTTTGGACATATGTTATTTATGTTGAGGCTTTTGATGTACAGTTTTCTTAAATCCCATTTCGTGTTTCAAAAAGTCTTCACTG